AATTATGTAACTTATATGGTTAGTTACCTATTAGAAAAAACTAAAGAATCAAATAGTTGTGAATCAAATTGGAATTTGGAAATAGTTTGCCTACAAATATTGTAATCTCCACAGGCAATGGCCCAAAAAGAAACATTCAGGTGCCTATGTATCTGTTCATGGGAACAGAGACAGACAGACAAGAGTCTCTTGGGTAAGATGACATGAGACTGGCGGCAGTATTAAAATTGAGAAAGAGATGTCAAGACAATTCTCACTTCTCATAGTGAAATAAATGTATAGGAAAGCAAAAGCATTGTATTTTTGATCAAAATTGGTGATTTCAGAAATATGGTTAAAATCAAAATGTTCACACAATGTGCACACAGACAAAAATCGATATTGGAGTTTACAGGCAAAAAAGCCCAAATCATATTCTGGACTTAAGAAATGGCTCGGGTCTTTCCCTCAATGTATCTATGGGACATTTTCACATATTTAATGTTCAACAAGTTAGACCTGCAGATCACTTGGGAAGTTTAATAACCCCCAGTATTAGTTCCCAAGTGTTTGGTTTGTTCAAACCCATAAGCAATAATAACTGTGACACTTGCTTTGCTAAACAGCCATGTTTAGGTATTATATTTTGATGGAATGGTACACGTTTTAGAGAAATAAGCGAGCGCACATTTAGCTAGACGGCCACGAGAATGTTAATGCTGTAGTTAAGTGCTATGGGTGTTGTGTCTGGAGGCATAATAATGGTTCTGCAATAGACAGGGAGGGTGTATTTTATGATGCTAGAAATCATTTTCATTGATCGCTGGTGAGACTGTAAAAAAATCTGACAGTGTTTTTATATTAATCTTTTTTTATTTACCTTAATTCTTGGTATTAAAAAAATATGTTTAAACTGCAGAAAAAAAATATTTCTTCACAAAAGTTTAGGTAACTTTCAAAAGGTCTAGAATATATAGTCTCTAGACTGCCCTCAATTTTGGGTTGCATTAGAGAATATGTGTGTGATCTGAAACTATAACCGGTCCACAGGAAGAACATCCATGGGAAAGTGAATATGTTTATTGTGTTTACAGAAAGCTAAAAGAAAGGAATCAAGTTTAGAGTCCTCGGATCATCACAAGATTTGAAAGGATTGCAAACAGAAAGTGAACGGATTTATGATTTAATTAATTTATGAAGCACTATGAACAACGCAGAGAGTGTGTGATTCTGGTGTGAATGTATCAACAAACCTATTCTAATCTATTTATTGGAATGTTAGAATATGTTAACTTGCCATTAAAGATGCAGAAGCTTTCCATCTTCAAATTGTTATAAACCGTCCACAACTATAAGATACTAACTACAAAAATAAAGACACACACTTCAGCATGGCTTCCCTCACATTCCCATGCCAAATCCAAGATTATCCAATCTTTCAAATTTATTGAAAAAAAGGAATCTGCCCTCCAGCATACACTCTCTTCTATTATCCCTCAATACAGAAATGAATGCTTGTCCTATAAATTCATGTGTGCACCTTGATCCTCTACAATCCTTAATATGAAAATGTCTGAAGCATAGCACAGTAAAGCCCTGTGCCATAAAGCATATCTCCCTCACAAACATGCACACACTGCTCTCCAGACTGAAGCACGGACTACAGGAAATGAATACATGTGTGTATTCAGATCCAGCCTCTTCAAGACCTGCATCAGAGAGGAGGGCATCAAACGAGATAGTACTGTATCTATTTTCATGTTACTAGCATTTATTTTTCATTTGCTATTTAGTAATTTTTTCAGTTTCACTGGTCCATTTTCATAGTTAGAACAGGTGTATAAGACCATAAAAGATATTTTGAAGAACGTTTGGAACCAAACAGTTGTTTGGCACCATTGACTTCCATAGTAGAAAAAAAAAAATACTATGGAAGTCAATCAATGGTGCCAAAGTTCCAATCGTTCTTCAAAATATCTTCCTTTGTGTTCAGCAGAAGAAAGAAACTCATACAGGTTTGGAACAACTTGAGGGTAAGTAAATGATGAAAGAATTTTCATTTTTGGGTGGAGTAGCCTATCCCTTTAAGACCAGGGAGGTTAATAAAGGCATTCTGTGGTGAAGCGATGTGAAAAATATCCACTTTTAACATGTTACAAAGTAAAAGTCCAGCTTCCGGCCAAACGGCCATATGCAGTCCACTTGAGCCTAAAGCGCAACTTACGTCGGAAGTAGCGTAGTGCGTCATGGCGTATAGCGTGAATTTACAGCAGTACGTCGCATTACTCGCAAAAGTCGAATCCGTATGTTCATTTGGCAGGACGCTAGTCATTTTATTTTATAAAGTTTTAAATATGAATATTTTTCTTACACAAACGCATCGCTTCACTTCAGAAGGCCTTTATTAACCCCCGGAGCCGTGTGGAGCACTTTTATGATGGATAGATGCACTTTTATGGACTTTTTTATGGTCTTATACACCTAGGATGACTTGAGGGTGAGTAAATGATGGGCTAATTTTCATTTTTGGGTGAACTATCCCTTTAATGCTTAGAGTAAATGTTGAGAAACTGTACAATGCTCCTAAAGGGTTTAAAACAGAGGCAGTAGGAAAGAGAATGTGTGTGTATACTGTAGCTGAATATGGTTCCCAGCAGCAGTTCAATTTAATTAAGGATCCCCAGAGGAATGACTTCATCTCTGAGTAAGAGGGGTCTCCACTTACCCCTGTTTCCCTTCCTTCCTCCTGTCAATCCCTGTATGACAGAATTTCATCTGAATCAGTCCTCAATATCACTAATGCATGCAGAGGTCAACATGGGCAAGCATGCTGCAATAAAACCACAATCATAAATCCTGTTTTTCATCTTGTGTGTTAAATGTTGGTAACTGGTGCTGCTACAAACACCACTACAGCAACCACTACAGGTTATCAAGTAATGCAATTTGTCTGACCCAGTTGAGTTTTTATAGAGTACTTGCCATGCCAAAAGTGATTGAAATAAAGTGATGAGGTACGCTTGTTGATGAGGTTATCTTCGTATTTAAAGTTGCTGTACACAATGTTAGCCATTCTAGAGCAGGCTTAGACACGCCCTCTATTCATACAATTTATTATTATTAATCACTATAAAAAACAAATATACAATTCTTATTTTTATGCAGTATTGCAGTATCTATTATAAATGGTTTATCCGTGCACATCATTTTTATTCATGTGCCCTTATAATCTTTTATCGAAATAACTTCCCTTCCCTTGCAATGACATCTCTTCTCTGATGACGTGTTTACTGGCGTGAGGGCGGGACCACCTGTCACTCAATTCCCGATGGAATTTCACAATATAGGGAAGAAAATACTAAAACAACTCCCATTTTTTTGCCGACTTTAACAGTTTATCAACTGAAAGAATTTACTTATGTTCAAGTTGTTTTATTATGCACTATATTTAGGTAGAAATTGTATGCATATTTCAAATTATTGTTGTTTGTGTGTACTAAAAGTTAATGAAGACCTGATTTCTGACGAAACCGACAGCTTTTACGCATAGTATTTTTTTTTACCTGTCAAGCAGAAGCAAAGGAAGCTTGGAGGGTGGGTTGCATCTGTTTCCCTCCAGCGATGAAAAGCTTTATTATCGATGTACACTCGTCTTGCTTTTTTTTTTTTTTGTTCCCAAAGACTTTTTGGCCTCTTTGTTTTCCTCTGTCTTAATTTCCCTCATCGAATATTTGTCTGTATAAACGGTTGTTGACAGATGAAAAATCGTAAACATTTTGCACCCTGCAAACTCATGAAAACCGCTCTTTTAACTTCCGGCTTGCCGTATATGGACTGCTCGCTGTGAACGCTCAAAATGATTGACAGGGATAAATAACCGGCCAGTTCTGATTAGCTAAACAATACTGAAATTAGGATGCAAAATGATTAACTGAAAGCGTCTTCTGAAAAAACAAAAAACACACTTTATTTTACTGTTTACAGATATGGGGATGTTATTTCAGTTATTTTAGGGATAATTATTTGCTTCATATTAAATATCGATTAGCCTACAGCACCTACTCAAAAACATATTTTGCTATATCAAAAGTAACAACAATTGTGTTTTATTTTATTCATTTTAAATTGCACAGCACTTTGGTACACTCTGTGTTTTTTAAGGTGCTTTATAAATACATTTTGATTTGATTTTGAATTGATTTACAATTGTACCACTATTTACATTCTATAATAGCTTTCTTGTCAATATATCAGGATGGGGGCATTTTTTTATGTTCTTTCCTTTTGAATACATCATGAATATCATGACAGAGAGTGCAAAACATATTTATAGGCTACTCCGTAATCCTCTACCATATTCCTTAATTTCAGCAATGAGCCAATAAAGAAACATTAATTTAACCTTTGTCCTAGTCCATTAGCACACTTTTTCTTCTGTGCCACCCGCATACACTTTGCGATTTCATTTAAACAATTTCAGCATGCATTTATTCTGCAGTTAGTATGCAACCAAGCAGTACAGTAGGCTACTATGATCTAAATATTGGCCTTTATCTAAAGTCATATCACTGTCTGCAGGCTTAAAATGATTTAAGAAGAAATTTGTACCATTCAGTTAATTTTTCATGTAGTCACAAGGTGGAGCTATTGTATAGTACAGGAGGGTTTAAACATTACCAAAATTTCACCACTAGAAGGTTAGCATGATTTGGCCTTTTGAAATGCTTGATACCTTTATCATCTCTGTTGTTTCTTGTTGGAAACAACAGGTCCAAACAATTGGTCCTGTAGTCAAAACATTCTGCAAAATGCTTAATTTGTTGTCCTGTAAAATACAACTAACTATGATGAATCACTTTTTACTGTTTAACCCTCAGTGTAATTTAAATATGCAGGTACAATTAATTATTTCTGTGTATTTTTTCTGGGTTATTGGGGTGGATGTTGTTTGTGGTATTTTCTAAAAGAAGACCCGCCCCCAAAATGCCATTGGCTCGTTTACACGGAAAACCTGCTTCTGATTGGACAGCAAATGTGTCACACAGTGGACGCGGCCTCTATACCGTGCGTCAAGAATCGAAACCAAAAATGGTTCAAATTGGAAAACAAAAGAGAACTTGGCATTTATAGCAGAGTGCGAATCATAAATCACCGCTGCTCACATTCGAATGAGGTAATATTTCATCCTAATAATATTTCTGAATAACGAATCGCCTTTTGTTGCTGCATAGCAGGTAGGTGTTTCTCAATGTGACGCGCATCTCATATTTTCCTCAGGCTTCTGTTGACATAAATAGCTGGTTGCCTCCTGCCAAGGATAAAAACACACCTTGGTTATTTTAAGTAAAGTATTAAAAGTTATTTAAGGATAATAAGCCTTCTAAATGAGACTATGCGACTGTGCTCTGTTTTGTGCCTTTTGCGAGAATGGACTGAATGTGTTTATGTTTTTTGCGCTTTCATCTATAGGAAGAGCAGAATTGGTCCCGTAGTCCTTTTGATTTCATAAATGAAATGGAGGGAGGTACAAGGTAAGAGTTGATCTTGTAATACACCGTGTTATATATTTAAATGCAGGGACGTTTCAGATAGCAATGTTTGTTTCTGAGAGGTAGGCATATTTGACAAAGCTGTCAAACTAGTCCAGCACTTGTTTTAAAACTGCTCACGTAATGGCAACAAAATCCAGTGATTTAAACCTAATATCTTTGGGTGAGTGTGTTATTTTATTGGTTTATTATACCGTGAATCATATTATGAGCGTGGGCCCACAGCTGTTGCGCAATGATGTTTTTGTGGGCTGGGTATTTTTTAATAACAGCCTGTCACGTTTATATATACTTGAATGACCTGAAAAGACAAATTAGACCACATTTATTCTATCATGTTTTGTGTCATACCCAAGTGGGTTGCTTATAATAAATGTTCTTTTAATCCAGAGGCACTAGAAGGGATAGTGTGTGACAGGAGATTGGGGGTCTGACAGCGGGATGGCCCACTTTGATACAGAGTACCAGCGCCTGGAGGCGTCCTACAGCGACTCCCCTCCCGGAGAAGAGAATCTACTGGTGCATGTTCCAGAGGGATCCAAATGTAAGATCCAAAATTTAAATAAAGCAACAGTGCCGCATAGTGTGTATGTCTATTGTATGACAGAATCATATGCTTTTATTCTTTTGGCAACCTTGCTTTAAATAAGGGGTTTTCAAACTGGGATCCGGGGATTCCCAGGGAGCCACAATGGAGTGCTAGGGGTCTGTGGAACAGGTTAGAGAAAAGTAGTGTAAAAAATATCAAAATAAACAATTGATAAAAAAAAGTTTCAACTAATAAACTAAATAAACAAATAAATAAATTGTGATTTTAAATAAACAAATACTTTTGATTACAATATATTACATTTGTAATATAACAGTATAATTTTTAATACAACAGGATAAACACAATATAACACAATCGACAGATTTATAATATTAATTTAAAACGCGAGTGCTTTATTTGCGCAAAAATAGTTTTCCCACTTTATTTACAACATATTAATCTCCAACACGCGTTCACGAGAGCACCACAACGCATTAAACCACTGGAGACACATGGATTACTTTAATGATGTCTTTACTACCTTTCTGGGGCTTGAAAGTGGTAGTTGCATAGGCTGTCAATGGAGGGACAGAAATCTCTCCGATTTCATTAAAAAGATCTTCACTTTTGTTCTGAAGATGAATGGAAGTCTTAATGAATAGAAGTCTTAATGAAGTCTCCATGTTGTTTTGTCATAAAATTCATAAATACATTTGTTTATTGCAGCTCCGTGGCACCACATTGAAAATCTAGACCTTTTCTTCCAGAGAATATCCTTTGCACACTGAAATGAACTGCTTGTTTATGGGTCATATAGATTTTCGTTAGATCAAGTAGATTGACCTAAAATTAGTCATTATAGTCAACATGTCTGATATTTTTCTTAACATTTAATAAGTCTATAATCTACACCAGAAGAATGGATTTACTTGTATGCTGCTGGGGGAAATATTTGAGCTTGTGTAAGTATCAATTCATTTATTAAACATGACATTTTTTGTGTAAAGTGATAGGACTCATAAGTGTTGTCTGTTAACAACAGATCAGTGATCACATTAATTTACCCTTCTGAATTGTCATGTAATATTTTATTATTCTAGGCAACTGGTGTTTGTGGTGGCATTCACAGTGTTCCTGGCTAACTGTGTGGACTATGACATCCTTTTTGCCAACAAGTTTGTTAATCACACTGATTCCTCAAAGGTTACGCTGCCCGATGCGTTTCTACCAGTGGACGAGTGCAGTGCTCGGTATATTTTATATATTAAATGTCACTAATGTGGCGTTAATGTTATTGCTTCTTACTACTTTATCAGTATAATCCATCATAAATCTAACCGTCCTTTGTTGACGTATGTTTTAGGATCCGTGACAGTGTTTCGGTCATCTTCATCCTTATCATATCAGGGGTCTTTTGGCTCCACCGTCTCGTCAAGTTCTTCTACAACATCTGTTGCTACTGGGAGATCAGATCGTTTTACATTAATGCCCTAAAAATGTCCACGGTGAGCTTTTCTGCTATTTACTAAAATGTTTTGGTTCTAACAGACGTTTGAGTCAGCACTGGAAGAAAGCATGTATACTCCACATTTATGAGTTCTTGCTGTCTTCTTGTCTCAGTAAGCCACTTAAATTGCTGATAATTTTCAGAGAAAACATACCAAAGGAACTGATGAAATTTGATTATTCAACCCATTTAAATGTTTAATCAGCCCTCTTCTTTTGGTAGGCGGACCTTCCTTATTTTACCTGGCAGGAGGTGCAGGCAAGGATTGTTGAGATACAGAAGGAGCACCAGATTTGCATCCACAAAAAAGAACTGACAGAGCTCGACATCTACCATCGCATACTGCGTTTCAAAAACTACATGGTCGCCATGGTCAATAAGTCACTTCTTCCTGTGCGCTTTCGTTTGCCTCTGCTGGGCGACACTGTTTTTTACACCCGTGGCCTCAAGTATAACTTTGAGTTGATTTTCTTCTGGGGCCCTGGATCTCTTTTTGAAAACGAGTGGAGTTTGAAGTCAGAGTACAAGCGTGGAGGGAACCGTTTAGAGCTAGCAGATCGTCTGAGCTCACGGATCTTGTGGATTGGAATCGCCAACCTTCTCTTGTGTCCAGTTATCCTGATTTGGCAGATTCTCTACGCGTTCTTCAGCTACACTGAGGTGATAAAGCGTGAGCCGGGAAGCCTGGGTGCTCGATGTTGGTCTCTGTATGGCCGTTTTTACCTCAGACACTTCAATGAACTAGACCATGAGCTAATGTCACGCCTCAGCAAGGGCTACAAGGCCTCCTCCAAGTACATGAACTGCTTCATGTCACCATTGCTGACGGTGGTGGCCAAGAACGTGGCATTCTTTGCTGGCTCCATACTTGCGGTTTTGATTGCTTTGACTATTTATGATGAAGATGTATTGGCTGTGGAGCACGTCCTCAGCAGTATCACATTACTTGGGGTCGGCATCACAGTCTGCAGGTGCGCAAAGAGAGGAAAAGATAGTATTTTACAGCTAAGAGTTTTGTGCTCATTCTTTCCTCCTTTTTCTGAACCAGGTCATTTATCCCAGACAAGCATATGGTGTTCTGTCCAGAGCAGCTGCTTAAAGTGATCCTGGCACAGATTCACTACATGCCTGATCATTGGCAGGGAAATGCCCACCGCTATGAGACCAGAGACGAGTTCGCACAGCTCTTTCAGTACAAGGCTGTAAGTCATGCAGCAGTTAAAGGAATTCTTCTATTTGTACCCAACACCAGTGTGCTATTATTGTTAATGAAAACCAAATGATAACATTTTCGTTAACTGAAATAAAAATTGAATTTGGAGAAACATAATTACAGTTTTATAACTAAAATAAAATGGACCAAAAAATTCATTTTAGTTTTTGATACACAACATACTATACATTACAGAATCAAGACATGATTATGGTGGCGATAATGCCATTTAAATAGTGCAAATGACGTTTTGGGAGTTTTGTTGAGTCCCCTTCTGAATGTGATTAATAAATAAACAATAATCAAGCAGTTAAATAATTAATCAAATTAATAAATTAACCTCAATTCACAGTAACTTTGGCAGCCCTAAAATATTCATTTACAAATAAAATGGCTGCCGATTTATTTATTTAACAAGAATATGCTGAAAAACAAACTAAATTGAAACAACAAGAGTTGTTTAAAAATTAAACTCAAAGGGTTAAATTTGAAAGTAAAAGTATTGAAACTGAAATAAAAACTTGAACCCTGCCTAACGCAAGCATCTGCTCCCCTTCTCCCTGTGTTAAAGTTGCAATGAAACAGAAGTAGTAACAGTTTTCTTTTCTGTACTGTGATTTGAAACGAAAAGAAAAAAAATGTTGGGTGGGAATTTGATTTCTATCTATCAGTTGTTGATTGGATGCATACGTACTTGCAGTCAATTGTAAGAAAGGTTTAAGCAGACTAAATCTTTGAAGTCGTCAGAGGCTTCTCGCACCAGAAGATTGAGTTTTGACATTTTGATTAAAAATTGTGTAGAAAAAAATCTAAAAATGAAACGATTCTATTCACAATTCAATCAATAGCATGCAGTTAGAAAATTGATTTTCATTTCATTGATCTCTTGTTCTTGTAGGTGTTTATTCTTGAGGAGCTTTTGAGTCCGGTCATCACTCCCTTCATTCTCATTTTCTGCTTGCGCCGCAAATCTCTGGAGATCATCGATTTTTTCCGAAACTTTACTGTGGATGTGGTCGGTGTGGGTGATACTTGCTCTTTTGCACAGATGGATGTCCGTCAACATGGTCATCCTGCAGTAAGTGACACATTTATTTCATTTCCACTTTGTTTCATTATTGTACTTTTTTTAGTAGATAGATGTATCATCCTAGTTCTCTCTTTATTGCTGACTCTGATGTTGTTTTCGGTCCACTATAGTGGATGTCTGCTGGGAAAACAGAGGCCTCCATCTATCAGCAGGCAGAAGACGGGAAGACAGAACTGTCACTCATGCACTTTGCGATCACAAATCCACACTGGCAGCCCCCTCGGGAGAGCACACATTTCATCAGTCTTCTGAAAGAGAAGGTGCACCGCGAGGCCGCCGGAGGACAGCAGGGAATCATAGCAGAGAATCCTATCTTTACCTCAACCCATTCACTACAGTCTGATTCAGAGGTATTCAAATGACTGGACTGCCAACATCTATCAGATTAATACATTTAATATGATGATTTCTAATTGCAAATATTATCTTTTATTAATACTTCATATTATTAGTCGCTATGATTGAAAAATGGATTAAGTAGAAAACCCACTTTTAAGTTCAAATATAATATGATTACACACAAATAATTGGATGGATTATTTTTCTAAGGTCTAATTTTGGTTCTGTTTTCATTTCAGCCTCGCAGTCTTATTGCAAATCTCCTGATTGGACCCCCTTCCCTTGTCTCGCTGCATCTTGGTCGAGAGGGCTCCATCAATCCTGTGTCCATTGGAGTGAGTGAGGGAGCTTCCGCCCTCCGATCCCTCTCTCCGGTCAGCGCGAGTCTACACCTCCGAGGCAGCCACCCATCCGCCAGACTGGCACGACAGGACCATCCTGTGGTGACTGGGCGAGCAATGACAGGCTCTGGGTAATGATTCAATAAAAGTGTAATATAATCATTAACATACCCTATATAATATACTAATAGTCATGTGTTGTTATAAAATATTATTAATAATAATTATATACTTTTTCAGCTTTAATTATGTTTTTTCTTGTGTATTCTAAGCCTAAATTTAGGACATTTATTGTGTTTTAATTGATTTTCTGAACTGCACACTAGACATTTTGTTGTGCGGAAAGCGCTTTACGTTAAAATTAAAATTTAGATTAGAGTTAAAATGTATGTACATAGTATACACACCTGTTGAGAAAATTTGTGCGCAATTATTTGTGAATGAGTCCGGTTAAAGTCCGTTTTTTTTTTTCTTAAAGATGTCTTATTAAGAGGGAAGCCAAATTAATACAGTACAGCTTGTTAGAATCACATACTTTTTTTAAATAGCAATTTAGACAACATTTAGATACAATTTCAGAATTGGTGATCTGTATATGCTATTGTTCAAAAGTTTGGGGTCAGTAAGATTAAAATAATAATAATACATTAATACTTTTATTCAGGAAGGGCGTTAATTCACAATTGATTAAAAGTAGCAGTAAAGAAATGTTTAATGCTACAAAAGATTTATATTTCAAATAAATGCTGCTCTTTTGAACTTTCTATTCATCAAATAATACTGAAAAACAATGCATCATGGTTTCCACAAAAATATTAAGCTGTTTGTTGACAATAATAAGAAATGTTTCTGAGCACCAAATCAGCATTTTAGAATGATTCATGAAGGATCACGTGACAATGATGCAGTATTGATGCTTAAAACTCAGCTTTTTATAACCGGGAATACATAACAATTTAAAATAAATTAAAATAGAATAAATTGTAATAATATTTCATAATATTGCTGTTTTTTTTTTTTATATATATTTTTATATTTTTTAATAAATGCAGAGTACAAGAGACTTCTTTCAAAAACTCTTTTTTTTTTTTTTTACCTATTCCAAACTTTTGAATGGCAATATATTTATCTGTATAGCTGGAATCAGGTTAAAATTGTCCCTGCCTGTGTAAAAATTATTTGACTATCATTATATCGGTCATTTGTTCTCCCTCTTAACTCTTGGATTGTCCTTGTCTAGCACTGACGCCCGTACCATCAGCTCTGGCAGTAGTGCCTGGGAAGGCCAGCTAACCAGTATGATCCTATCAGAATACGCCTCCACAGAGATGAGCATCCATGCTCTCTACATTCATGAGGTAAAGCAACAAAAATCTATCGATTCTATTATACATGTATGGAATTTAGCAGCAGCTTTTTTCCCACTACCTACAATTCCCATTGTTATCCGCTTTTTCTTTACTAATCCATCCAAATCAACCAATAGCGTTTGGGATGTTGTCTGGTTCTGTTGAAAAATGTCAGTCTGTAGTCTGCACCTGAAGATTAGTAACTATATTGAATGTGTATGTAGATGCATAAGCAGCAATCGCGAGGTGAGCTGTCTCGACACACCTGGCACAGACAGGAGAGTGACGAGAGCAGTGAGAGTGTCAATGAAGACATGGAAGCTGCTCGCAACTTTCCCCGTTCCAGCACTTTCCCTAGTGCCACCAACTCACACCAGCAGGGGGCAGCACATCACAGCGGCAGCCAGCGACGCTTCGACGGAACCTCAGGTACTAGAAATGACTGTTAACAGATCACAAGAACGAAAATATGACCCCTCCATAGTCTTTACATGAGCGACATTCTATGTCTCCCGCAGATCCTGTTTCTGGAAGCTTTCGAGTCCAGAGGACACCTCGTATGCCTATGGGCGGATGGTCTGAGGAGAATCAAATAGGCCGGCATCACGACCCAGTGCCCGAGGAGGGGGCTGAGGATGATCTACCGCCACACATCCATAAGGTATAACCAATAGACTGTAAACCGTGGAAAAATGAAGCCAAAATGTCACAGTAATAGCCACTGACATCTTGGGCTGATGACATCATTTGGAGCCAAAGTCTGTGCAGTAGTGATTGGGCGGTGGAGCCACGGTATCAAAGTCTTGCCCATACTCCCGCAGACTCAATTGCAAGCACACCCCCCTGAACTTCTTAAACAACTCATTTTATCAATGCGAAACAAAAAAATCAGTTATGGAAAATTAAAAGATAAACCTGATCTCTTACCGAAACTCCCGAAAGAATTCCACTGGTGATGATGCCCGTTTTATAACATCACATAATTAGCTAAAACCAAACTTATTAGAAAAACAAACACTTGGACATACGTCAGTGGGATAAGAACTTCCTAAAATGACAGAAAATGTCTTTGGGAAAAATTTATTTCAAGTGTGTTTTTTTTTTTTTTTTTGACTTTCTTTAGTTTTCTTGATTCGTTTCATTGAGAGGGTGGGGTTTATGACCTATACTGCAGCCAGCCAGCAGGGGGCGATCTAAATGTTTTGGTTACCCTTTCAGGGCTTGCAGGGTTTCCAGGGCTACTTTAAAATTGTTGCCATGGTTTTGATTTTTTTTTTTTTCCCTCCGGGTTATTTGGGAGACATACGCACTGGGCTAATTTAGTTGCGCAGACCTGGCAACCCTGCTTGTGTGGCACATTTGGAAGCAGCATTGATCTGCGCTGGATTCCTAATATTTATTTCGGTGTTCTTTTTTTCTTCTAGGTGACTTAACAGGTGTATCGTCGATGAAGTACACAAGAGAGACTCACACCATCCATTTTCTTTTGGACACTGATCACAAAAGTCAGAATTATTTACTCCTGGATAGAACTCGAGACTCCCAGCTTAATCATTATGCCAAATCATTTTCAAATGCATTACAATGGTTTGAGCTTCTTAGTACATCATCAAAATATTAAATGATTCATACATCTTACATATTGATCCGCTTGATAGAGGGTGCAAAACTGATTCTGTTATTATATATTTTTTTTTCCATTATATTGTGAATAGGAAAGTCTAATTGGCCTCCCGATGAGACCATTGAGTAAACTGTCATGTAGGATTGCACTCAGTTGACCTTCACATTTCTGTTCTCGTCAAAAAGTACAGGTCGGTGTTGATGCAAGAAGTTTGTGCTTAGAATTTCTAAGCTAATTTGAATAGTTTTGATAGGATGAAGAAATATTTATAATATGCAATGTGCCATAATGAACTTTAACGATTTGCAAAATTAGATTTTATTGTCAATCCCAGATATCTGTGAGGGGGGGGAACCACTGAAGATCATTCAAGCATGGCACTGTAAAAATAACGCATGCTATTTAAGTTTTATTATTTGCACAATATCAAACAAGAATGCACTTTATCATTTTTCAGATCCAAAGGATGACACAAAGGCAGTGAGCAAATCAGATTTGTTTTTATAAACATGCAGTTTTAAAGAAAGTTGTATATTTCTGTCTATAGGATAAGCGTTAATATATTCCAGATACCTCAGGACCGGCTTGTTTTTGGCACTGAAGTTGCCCAAAAAGTGCATGACACTTTTTGGGTGATTGACAGCTGCACCTTCCATCCTCAAATCCATAACTGCTAAAAGGAAGTTGACAAACTTTTGTGTAATTTATGTGTGACTGCAAAGATGTTGGATCTCGTTCATAGACCATCAATGCATAAAATGGCAAAAGTGTACATTTTGTTTCACATAAACTGACACCATTTCTCATATCTCACACTGCTTGCATACATCGTGCTTGCATAGAGATTGTTCAAGGTGCAAATTGTGCATGACCCTTGACCTTTATAGCCTGGTATGTGTTTGTAATAATTGGCCTGTGAAATGCTTCTGTGACCTTACCTATCTACCAACTGCAGCTGTGCATTTTCCATTTTCTTTCGTTTTCAGTTTTCTAGGCTGTTGTATATTTACATTTTGTACAGTTTAAAATGCATCAATAAAATGTATTTAATAGTTTGTGTATATTTTAATTTCAGACAATTATTTTTCAAATAAAGTGTCAAAGTGCAAATACTGTGCCAAAAATAAAATCATCGATGTGGAAAATAATGCATTTAGGGATGCCGTTATGTAATTTTCTGGTCAAGAATGGTTTCATAACGGATTCAAAAAAGAAATGGATATGATTTTGAATGCAAACCTCTTTAGAAAAAATCTTATTGTTTTTACACTGTTCGAGAATTAAAGGGTTAAAAATCAAACGACCGCATATCATTCAACCACATACTAGCACATACATTTTTCGTTAGTAAAAGCAATGAAAAATTGTACCGCCCGAACAGGGACTTGAACCCTGGACCCTCAGATTAAAAGTCTGATGCTCTACCGACTGAGCTATCCGGGCTCTGAAAAGCAGGTATAACGCCCCCTACTTTCACCAACCCGTTTCTTCCTCAATAACAACAAAGAAATGATAGACAGACATGCTAAACTACAATGCGTTAAATGAGTTCGCGGGTGTGGTGTGAACAACATCAAACGCTCAACGTGAGCTGAATTACAGCAGCAAGCACGGTGGTAACGTTAACCCAGTTAATACTACCACTATAGAATGTAGTGTAAAAAAACATGTTTCCTAATTTTTATCAATACCAATAACCAAAATCTAGTTTCAGATTTTGAAAAGATCAGTAAGTATGTGCCTTAAACTTCGCAATTCGATTAACATTCGTTTGCATTTCAACTATTCAGAACGTAATTTCAGCGCATGCGCAGTGTTCAGAAACAGGCCTGAGAATACTAGTTCTATTAAATTGATTTTAACACACACGCGCACGCTCTATGTGGTTAGCACATGTGTATCAATGATCTATACACCACTAATTTTTCAGTCGGATCCAGATGACGTTCATGCACTGTGTCGGATTTACCTCACATTGTGACATAGGCTAAAACATTGAGAACCTAATGTCCAAAATCAATACTATCAAGAAATCGGAACAAAAAACACTAAACAAAACAATTTTTAAATAAATGAACACGTGTTGTCAAAGTTTATAAATAGAGGCTTTTTTATGGTCAGACACTAGCATGCGTCATATATTAACATTTTACCTAAATCAAGCTCAAATGGAGTAACGAGGATTTTGACCAGCGAATCTCGGACATAGGCCTAACGTAACTTAACCGTTAGCTGCTACGTGTTTTGTTCGTCATTAGAACGGTCGCATCAGAGGCTGTAAGTGCATCGCATTACTCTTTCATCAACTTACAGGTTATAACGTGTGTAGAGCTATGTTACGTAATGTATGTGCTCAGTTTTTTTTCTTCAAACAATCAGTTTTTCGTTTACCTTTGCAATTGTAAACAAGCAGAGACGTCCGAACTACGAACTCCGTGCGGCACAGAAGAAGGGCAGAGTTTTGAGGTTTTGACCGACAGTTTGAGGATCCAATGGAGTTACAAGGTTTAGTCTCAAGCTTTTACATACTTTTCATTGGTTAATATTTGCAAAACCCACAGACAGACGTAAAGGTTGACCAATAGTAATGATTTATGGAAAAAAAAACGATGATGTGTCAGTGTTTTACGATTAAACTAATAACAATAAATTATTTCTCAATGTAATTGGAGACACGCGAAAAAATTGTGCATTGTGACAACTTGCATTAATCAGTCTGAATTTAACTTACTGAAGAATTAATGCGTAAAACGTTACTTGCATGCAAAAAAGCGCTTCTCATTGGTTTACTCAGTTTTCCTTTCATTATTAACCATTTTATATGTATCATGTGCTTGCAAAGTTAAGTGTGTTTGTTACTAAGAGGTGCAACAGAGGGTTAAAATTTAAACCATGCTTTAAATTTAGTACAAATACAATGATGAATAACTTTAGAAGAGCTACTCCTAGTACTTTAATAGAAATGACACAAATCGCAATTTAGACTAAAATATTTATTGATTTTTATAGAAATACTGTCCATAAAAAAAGCAATATAAAACATTTTACAAAACATGTCCAACCATGTGCATTTAAACAGTGACATCCATTAAAAATCACAAATTCAAGTGCAAAAGTCTTAAATGCTTTCTGTGGACAACATGTAAATAAAAGAATATAAACTGAACATTTACAGACCAATCAAAATTGTTTACAAAAAAAGTGAAAAAATAACTAAATAGCACTGGTTGCAAAAAAATTATAATAACACGTTATTGGTGACATTGTTTTAGCTAAAATGAAAAAGACAGCAAATATGAATGTAAAAAAAAAACCCTACTAATTTAAACAGACTGGCACAAGTGATCAGATTTCTTCATTCATCGGTCAGATTTCCTGGCATATGGAATCATTGGTGGTGAACCTGAAAAAAAGAAGAAAAAAAAAGATGATTAGAAATGACATCAGCCCTGCATATGCCTAACCTGCCAACCGCAGCACAAGGGAGTATTCGTGCAGACGAACAGGCATGCACACCTCTGTGAAACAAGAATATCCAGAACGTGACTGATCACACAAGAAGGTGAATTTGTCTTTGAACTCCGGTGACTGGGTAACATGGAAATCAGGCCAGACCGTCACTCACCTAAAGGCCGCATGGACCCCGGTGCCAAACAACTCAAATACAGCCAGGTTCTATTTTCTAGAAACCACTTCTGCCGAAAGCTCATGGTATTGGGGAGGCTATGCCTCCTGTCCGCTCTGGGGACTGTAAGATGGTAAGGTCAGAAGTCACAAATGGCCAATATTTCATTAACGTTTTTGATCCTTTTACCTTCAGTGTTAAAAGGGGTTATAGTCAAACAAAAATACTAAAAATACCATCTTGTGTAATCAGTTTCAAAAACAAGGTCTAAGTTTGTTTATATTATATGTCAATTCCACTACCATTTGAATGCAAGAGTGATTATAGAGTGACATGCTTCAGTTGTCCAGTAGAGGTCAGTGCAATATTTTTCTTCTGAAATATTCCGGGTTCATACAGCCAACACATACATAATTCAAAATATATACTACTGTTTAAAAGCTTGCAGTCAGTAAGATCTTTTTTTTTTTTACAGCATTAAAAATTTTGGTAAATTTCCACTGGCCTCATCCTACCTGGATGAGCGGCTCCCAGACGCTGCTGGACAGTCTCCAGATGTTGAATATACTCTGTGAGGGAACGTTCCTGATCTTGGGAAGAGCTGAAGGAGTGTTCAGCTGGTCCTGGCACAGAACTTGTGTACATTCTTGGTGAAAGAGAATAGGAGAGGAGTTAAGTTACTAAAACTATTTGCTTATTAGAAGGAAAAACAATCTACAATTTACAACATCTGAAGTTAAACAGACTAGAGTATGTTTTACAAGAAAATACCGTTTCATTCTTTCTACTTCAAATTTTCATGTTCAATTCAATGTTATGTGCTGTTTCTTTGTAAATATTTGTGAAATTTACCAGCAATATCTGAGTGAAAATTGTTTCTACACCGATTCTTCTTTCAGTGTAGATCAACACTAGCCTGGATGCCAGCCGAACTTAGCCCCGCCCACAACATTTGAGGATGGGAAGTTCGGTCTGGACTTGATCCGTTGTGAAGCAAGTATGCCCGAACCAAAGCTGTTCGGACCAATCAAATTGTCAGGGCGGGCTTTATACTATGATGGAAAGATGATCAAAAGTATCGTAATCATCCACGTCACCAAAGAGCGCTTGGGTTGAATTCGTTTACAACAAAGAATGGCTGCCGCTGGAGAATTTAGATGTGTAGATTCAGCCATCGCGTCTGTTATAGAAGATGTAGACGGCGCATTCATTATAAAAGAGGAACAGAGAACCGCGATCAAGGCATTTGTCGATCCAATTGAGTGCAGAGGCATTTTTTTTCCTGGTTTGGTTGAAACACGCCCCATAAACACAGCCCAATGGAGCAGTATCAGACTCACATTCTGACTAGAATCAGAGTATGACGACGTCAGGCTAGATCAACACTATTGTGTAGTAAGAAACGTCACCTATTATTCAGCCGGAAGGGTGATTTGATTGGTGGCACAAGAGACGAGACCACACCCCTTTGAGCGAAGGCATGATCACGGGTGGGTGGAGAGTTGAACGCAACTCCAGTCTGCTGCGGCCTCAGCACTTCAGTCCTCAGAGCAGGAACTAAGAGAGAAGGAAAGGCGGCACATGAATGACTAATGATTTAAGTTACCAAATCAAGCCTCTTAAATACTCCAGCTGAACAAGTGAATCATGTTACTGCTAACCTGTGCTTGGTCCTGTTCCATGCCCGTTAACGGTGGCACTGCCTGAGATTTTCCTTGTAGCTCTTTGCCATTTCCTGGTCAGGAACTTCAGTCTAAAAAAAGTGGTAAGAAAACAAGTAAATCACCAATTCATAGTTTTCAGTCACGTGACTAGCACAGAGGCCAGCAGAGAAAAACATCCACAGACCTGCCAATTTTTCATCTGTTTCGAGCCACAAATATTTAATCACCTCTCAAAACAAAAACAAAAAAAGATTTGCACACTTGTGATCCATATACAGCACCTGCTGAAGTATTTTAATCACTAAAAAGTTCACCATTCTGTCATTAATTACTCACCCTCATGTCGTTCCAAACTCGTAAGACTTTCATTCATCTTTGGAACACAAATTTAAATATTTTTAATGAAATCAGAGATTTCTGTCCTTACATTGGCAGTCTACACAACTACCCCTTTGACGCTTCAAAAAGTTCATTGAGAGATTGTAAACCTAATCCATATGAATTGAGCAGTCTAGTCCACATTTTCTAAAGAGACACGATCGCTTTATACAATGAACAGATTGAATTTAGGCTTTTTTTCGAAATGTAAACATTGATCAGCAAACATAAACAGAAGCTCAACCGAACTTGCTTAACACGTGAGAACAAGTCTCTTGCTGAAGCTCAAACGTGCTGCGCAACACGAGAATGAACCTCATTGGTTCTTGTGGAAGCTCAAACATGTAATTGCTTAACGTGCTGCTTAACACATGAGAATGAACATCATTGGTTC